ACTGGATTTTGTCACAACCTGTCAGCGGGATGTTGTTTCTCCCAACTGTGTCGAACCGCCTTCCAGACAACATTGAACGCTGAGCTTTGTCAAAACATGAGAGGCACTGCCAGAGGATTAGGAACTCATTTCAGTCCCTTTACAAAGCCATTTTAAGGAAAGAAGCAACATGTCAGGGCTATGCCAACAACTGACTGTACCAACAAGGAGGGATTTGACATACTTTTCGAGGCTGCAGTGACTGTTATAATAAAAGACAGCAGTGCATTAGTGAAAGATTTATGCTGGGATTTCAACAATGGAAAAACATGAGCCTTACTGTATTCTTATTTTCCCCAAGACAGGCAGCCCGGGCATGTCACACAACAACGTTTCCAAGAAGGCTGTTACAGCTTAAGAAATGCTGAGATGCGGGTACAAGAAGACAATTCCAGGAAGCAGGAGAGACCCTCAGCTCTCCAGATGGAGAGCTATATAGTGCAACCTCCCACGCCAGACGTCTTCGGAGAAAGTGCCCGCCTGATGCCAGGGGGTGGTGGTGAGCCAACCAACCAGCTTTGGAGAGCTCAACCCCCTCCGAGGCCCCTTCTTAAATGCAAGATTCTTGCTGGCATCAGGTTGAAAGCTGTCTGTGCCAGGAAGCATCAGTACCAATGTGCTCCATTTGCTAACAATACATTATCTGGAAACCCTATATTATTGCACTTACAAGTTCACGCTCGCACTTAAATTTGCAAGCAAAAATAGCATCGCGCAGTCTTTCGAAGCGCGCCGTGTCAAAGGAACGACGCGACAGGTAAAGGCAGCATCCTGCCAAAGACAAGGAGAGATTTTGTCAGTGACGTTCAAGAGAGTAGGACCAGACCCTGATGCAATGCAGGATTTCATGGGTGCTGGCACAGGTCTGCGCTCCAAACCAAGCTCTGCAAACTGTAGGATGTGGTGGGAAAGAATCCAAATATGAGAAATGACATTAAAGAGAGCATCGTTAACCCTGGAGCTCATTCCCCAGTCCTTTGTGCATGGGTTGCTCTGGACCATGGAGAAGAGTGGAAACAGGGAGTCAGCTGCTCTGTAGGCACGTGGCTGAGATGTTGAGGATGGGGGAAGGCGCAGACAGGTGCATGCTCATTGTTTCTCATCTCACAGGGCCAAAGTCTGGACAGAAACTCATGCAATGGGGCAACATAAAAAATGCTTTAAAATAATCGTTCCCTTATAACCATCTCTCCACTCCAGCAAAACACTGTCAGGGTCTTACAGCGACAGAGCTGGAGACTGCTTGGCACAGGGAGAATACCCAGACTGCCTTCACAAGGGAAGCCAGACGGGAAAGCAATCTCATCCCACCAGAGTGCTTCAGCTGTCGGTATTTGTTCCCATCCAGAATTAAAGAGTCAAAACCTCAAAATGTTTCCTGAGCTGATAATCCAGAAAGAAAGAAATTGAGTCAAAACTTCCTATGTCAATCCTTGGGGAAAGTTTTGTTGTGATGTTATACCACGTGATGCGTTTAACACGGTATAAACTGTTCTTTTTTTAAAGAGCAACATGGAATAAAATGAAATAAAATATTTAAATAAAAAACTTGCTTTGAATCAGAAAAGGCAGCTTTTCATTTGGAAAATACCCACACCAGCCTTTTTGATCATTTTGAAGCCTCTTTCAACACCGTTTTCAAGCAGGGATTCACCAAAATGACTCCTGTGCTGCCAACAATTTCTCGTGGGGGGGGGATTTTTTTCTGTGAAAATTTTCCCAGCTAGCTCTCATCCTGCAGACGGCTGCTGCTGGGAGAAACCGCGTGGCTCAGCTGGGACGGGTCTGAAAGACCTCGGGTCTCGAGATCTTCACAAAGGGCTCTGTGCCTTCGCGAATCTCCGAGGATCCCTTATAGGCATCCTGGGCACGGTCACCCTCGGGCCGAGGTCCAGGTTGGAAAGGGCAGACACCTTTGTGCCAAGTCAGCCAAGGGGAAGTCCATTTCTTTTCCCCTCCGCACGTTTATGAAGGGTCCTATCAAGGGTAATTAAAACAGATGGAGATACCAGGAGGTAGCAGGTAGACAAGCCGAGTGCTTCAGTGAATTTTGCATCCCTCTTCAGAGAAGCCTAATCCAAAACCCACTGATTTCAGCGAGAGTCTTACTACTGACCGCAACGTGAATCAGGCCCCCCATCGCACAAGGGGACATCGACAGTAGGAGCTGGCAGTCGCACTCACTTCCTCAACTGTATGAGGTCTGCGCATAGAGTTAAAAAATAAAGCTTCAGGATTTTTTTTTTGTCTTTCCCCCTCCTATTAGATGCAGGTGGGGCTATAAAACCTTCCTAGTGTGAGTCAGAGAACCAGACTTGGCAAAGCTGGGCCTGCCACTTTAAAAACAGAGCACTAATTAAATAAAGTAACAACAAGGGGAGGAAAAAAAAATATCTCTCTGTTTTTCCAATAGCTAATCCAACCTGAAATGAATTAAAAAATATTTTACCTGGACTCCATTCACATACAAAATAAGGGGGAAAACACACTTGAAAAAATTCACTTGGCTAAAGCCAAATCCAAATTGCCCTAGAATAGAAGTGCAGTTTTTTGGGTTTGTTTTTTTTAAAGGCATCTGGATAGATTCAAATTGGGCAAAAGCCTCCCTTCTGAGAAAAGGCAAAAGGAATGGGTTTAGCATCGCTGTTTCCCACATTGCCAAAGGCTTGAGATGCCTCTTCAGACTGATTTGGGACCAATCTGCACACGCCCTACTAGTACGACCAGTTCAAGACTTCGGTGTGCATCTTGGGAGACTGTAGCATTTTGCAAAGTTTCAGCTCCCAAAGTCACGTTACAAGTCCAAAGAGTTATCTTTTTTATTTCCCCCCTGAAAAAGGTGCAAATTTCTACGTCTCAGACTCGAAAGGCTCAAAAGTGTGACTCCTCAAGGTTCAAACCCCCAGAAATTCTGCATTTTTTATTATTATTTTTAAACTCAGGGTTTTTTTTAAATAAACCCATGCATTTTGGTGAGGTCTGGTCCTGACTTTTGAATGGCTGGTGTTGGGAGTTCTTGTAATACGTTTCTGGAGTATGCATCATGTTCCCTTCTAGGACCTGTTAAAATTACAGGGTTCTAGCTTTCTATAGCTGTCAGCTAATGAGACTACTGCTTGAATTCAAGTGGGAGAAGCCATAAATTTTGCTCGGACCCTAAATCTGAGCGTTATCACAGTCAATGATCCATTGGCTACATTTCTACTGTTTCTTGCAACCCTACAACAAAACTCCCTACAGGTTTCCTGCAGAGCAAAGCTCTGTGATGTGAAAACCAGGTCTAGGCTCCCCTTAAGTCTGCCCTTCTTTGCAGAGTCGTTTCCCTTTTGTCCCACAAGTACGTAGAGCGGTAGGATTTGGACTTTTGTTTAACCTGTCAGCCCAATCATAATATCCATAGCTGATATGAATTAGTTCATCTCCACCACAGAGCTTTCCCAGTTTACAGCAGCTCAAGGTCTGGCCCAACATTTACCATGCATGGAGAGAAGAGTTAGGCCCTTAGCCTCATAAGAAACCCTTCCTCCCCTCTACAGCCAAAGTGATTTCATCTTCCGCACATTCGCTCTCAAAGCAGTATCCTTGCACTGAAACAGGAATGCTATGGAAACATTTCAGGAACCGGTTCTGATTTCACACCCGTATATAGAAATGCTCCCATTTCCTTCAGGGGGTCTGGCAATGTTCTCACAGATTAAGACCCAAGGTTTTTATCATATGTTGTTTATATTAACAAAAAATGAATTCCCGACAAACATTAGGAGCGGCGGGACATTTACGTAAATAATGGAGACAAATGCTCGGTAAGAATACAACTCATAGGGCAGGAAATAATTGATTTGAAACCACAGCTAACTCCTCAGTAAAGTTCTCTGCACCTCCAGAATTAATAGCAGCTGACCTTCATGCAAAAACCACTGGCTGAAGTTATATGATCAGTATTATATAGCATGTCAGAGTAGATGATCACAGTGCTCCCTTCCTATAAAATAATTTAAGCCCAAATTATGCACAAATCCTGCTCACATGACAGTCATTCCATTGAGTTCAATAGAACTCTTCCCCCTTGAATAAAAAAAGGAGGACTTCCTGCAGAATTTCTCCCTACAATCGGAGAAGTAATAGACACAGAGCATGCAGCCTGAAGTTATTCATTCCCTAGATTTATTTTTATTGAGAGCTATTTATAGAAGTATCTGCAGCTGCACACCTGAGAATTTCTCTGTGCCCAGCCTAACTTACCCATTGCTCCTTCACGCATGAACCCAAGTGCAATAGTAGGCACGCTGGCTTTCCTGTGCACTGCTGTCTCCTGCAGTCTGTGCACTGTATCTATCTTCTAGGAATATGGTGCATTCTCTATGCCATTAACTTCACAGTTGGATGCAAGCTCAGGACCCATGCGCACTGGGGTGGGGCACCTATTATGTGCCATGATAAGGTGTGTACTACCCTTAATGCATTGCACATGCAAAAATCCCATTAAAGTTAATGTTAATTAGAACTCCAGCTATGCACTGTAAGGAAAACTTTGATTGGTGTGCATGGGAGGGCAGAGGTGGAGGAAAGATTTTACTGAGGACCAATGCAGTTCCTGCGTATGAAGCTTCTCTCAGTCTTCTCTAGCTTAATTCTGTCCTCTTTTACAACTGGGCAGCATCTCTGACTTTGCTGGCTCATGCATCGTCTCTGTCCCCATCCACAAAAATACTTAAGCACCTCAAACAGAGTGACAGGTATCCAGGTTGTAGCTGTATTGGTCTAGAGGCAAACAGAATCAAAACTCATAGCAGAGGCGGTATCTTGTATTAGACCAACTAGATATTTGCAAAAAAAAAAAAAAAAGTCTTTATTTGCAAGCTTTGGGGCACAGTCACCCTTCATCAGGCATAGGAGATTGCAAAAACTGTAAAAGTTCTCCTAGGTAGAAATGAAACCATAAAGCCGTGCTTCCTACCTACCTTTGGTGAGCGAAGGGATTTTAGGTTTCAAAGTATTTGTTTAACTTCCATTCAATCAAGTGGGTACGTGAGATTTTCTTTAGGGAAATTTACTGCGGAGACAAAAGGGAAAATAAAATTCTACTGATGGTGACTTTTCAGCAAGATGAACACTGCTTTTTTTTTTTTTTAAAACCATCATTTTATTTTAATACAGATGAGCACATCAGCTATCACTATTGCTTACAGGAATAGCTCCTATTCTCTCCTTATACAACTTTTATTGATGTCAATGGAAGGATAAAAATAAAATCTGCAATATTTTTCTTTTTACATGGTGCATATTAATTTCTTGCCAGCTATATACTTGAAGTTTCCTCGTTAAATGTTTTAATACAAACAAATTCACCATTTGTTTTAACGTAATTTCTTTTAAAAAGATGTACATGGCCTCTGTGAGAATTATTTTTGGAAGAAAATGAACTGTTAATAAGTCCTTCATTTAAGTTTCTGCACTTCTTAACTTTTCTCACCAGCTCTCCTCTGCCTTACAAAGTGCTAACAGGGCCTGTAAAAGTTCAGGAAATGTGCAACATAAATAGTTTCTGCCTATTAGCGCCAGTGAAATACTCACCGAGCCAAATTTTAATCTTGGATATGTTCGAGTGACTCTTGAGTAACTGAAGTCAACGGTTATTCTGGAGTTACACTCCGATTCAGTAAAAGCACGACGGCGAGACATAGGCAGAGGCACAAGATTTAGCAAGCGTCTAAGTGCTGTTCTGACCTGGGACTTTATTTTTAGTTGCAGGCAGCAAACAGATTTTGGCTAAGTAAATTCATTAGTGTTACCTTGTGAATCTCTTTTGCATCGCCGCAGCAACTGCCAACTTTCAGACGAGTATATAGTAATTGCAAAGTATCCCTTCGGCATTATAGTGTGGGCACGCAAGAAAAACTGAGCTGCATCTAGATCAGTACTAATCTTAACTGATTTTGATCGTCAGCTTCATGCCATTCGGCCATTCGTTGCACGGCATATGTTGAAATACAACCTGCTTTTCTAAAAAATTAATGAATTTTATGTGCAGAAACAAAAATAACTTATCAGCTATTATCTTGGACCTCGGGTCTTTAGAAGCACGTCTCTTCCTATCCCCAACATTTTTCACATTTATCTTTCTTTTCAAAGGTTATATCTATTTGACTCTCAAAACTAACTGGTTCATTTTTCAAACAGCAAAGTGTTTTTTCAAGGAAAAAAAAAAGAAAAGAAAAGCATCTGCATAAAATATGTCTATGCTCATTAGATCCATTTTCTTCATTAAATTCAAGTTTCTACATCCAAAAGGCATAAATCTGGGTATCGATTTAGTCATAAAATAATGAAACTCCCAGCAGTCTTCTAAAACCATTTCACTTGGATGAGCATATAAGCTTTTAAAATATCAAGCTATTCCAGTATTTAATACACATAACTGCTTCCAGAGGTCTAAAGGCAATAAGGCACATCTCCCCACTCCATTTGAAGTAGTGTCGTTTGAGCTAGCCAATGCCTCACTACTGGTTTTAAAGCTTTTGACTGTATTTTACTCCGGGTGCGTTTGGTACATTCTCAACATGGACGATACACCCTGGAGCCAAAATCAATAACCTATAGAATCAAAGCTCTGTAAAGTAACAAGAGGGTCTTGGTGTTGTATGCCCATAAAATACATTTCAGTCTAACGCCGTGCTTCCAAAATAGTCACGTTCTGAATTTATTGGCCTGGTCGGACAAGATATCATCCGACTGTACCTCCAAAACCCCTCTTCTGCCTTTATCAACAGGAGGAATAAAACCCCAATTGCTCCACACTTTGTATTCATGGGCCAAGCCTTCTGTCCTTCTTCACACCGAGTAGCACCTTATCATACAAGTATCTCTATTAATTTCTGCTGGAGTGCTCAGCCGGGATGAAACAGGCTACCGTGCATAGAGCCAATGCCTGTCTTGCGGACCATACACATTGCACGTGAGCACTATTTTGAAAGGTTTCATAGCAGAGAGCTCAGTAATGGTAAAGAGGACTTAACGGTCTCATTCAAGCTGGCCTTCTGCGTGGAACTGAATTTAACCCATCAAAAGAGTGGTAAAAATTAAGCTAATGGTAAAATATCAATGTTTTACTTTGAAAACCTTGTACTTTCCATTCACTGCTAGACAAAAAAAAGAACCTCATGTAGACAAATGCCATGTGTTATAATACTGTGCTTTTCTAGTGGAAAAGTGCATACACATTACGGTGGAAAATAACCCTTTGTGCTAAATGAGACCATTTCCTGCCTTGACATTTTTTCGCTAGTCTGCAGAGTTTAACAAACAAACCCACCTTGCATAATAAATCATATGCTCTCTTGGTAACTAGAAATAACCTTCTGAGTTTAGGGGGTTACAATATATTTTGTGCTCTGATACTTGCTCCGAGTTCCTCCACAACCTGTTCTCTCTCTTGCCTGTAACAAAGGGAGGCTGGATTCCCCGCCACATTATTTCGGCTTCACAATGGTCTAACACCAGGATACACGTGACCGTAAAACTAGAGTAACAGATCCTCTACGGCTAAATATAAGGGAGAAAATGGCTTTCAAATGATCTTGAAGAAAGTGGTACTATCAGATTTCAGTAGAGATGCTGGGATAATGTAGTCATTAATCGGGGCCAGAGTATTTATATTAAGATTATTAATGTACACACAGTAACATCATTACTCAGAGTTTTATACAAATTCTCTCGACTCTGTTTTGCACAAATAGAATTCGATTTGAAAGATGATCTTAGAGTCCTTAGGTTGAAAGCATATAATATACACAAATTGGGCCAAATCCCCTAGTCCATCACGCTGACTTTAATCAGTCTCCAAAGGCTTCAAGCGAAGCTAATAAACTTATATTTTTATTCTGACATACCCCTCTCTTTCCAAATGATCTAATTCCCGTAAAACACAGCAAGGATCTCTACTAGTCTTTTCCCAGACACATTCACATAATCCTTATACACTAAACACCACAGAGCCTGAGATATGGGACCGTTTACTTGCCCAAATGCTCGTGTTTCTCTCAAGACGGTATTGCTTTCAATATGCTATTTCCTGAACACCGTCACTATTGGTTTGTTCTCCGAAGTCAAAATGCTTTTGTGACTCCTATCCACTTGCAAAGCGATTCTTCAGACCCGGTGGCAACGGGCAGACGGTGTGCTTCTCCACATCCTTGTCCCCAGAAAAGGGCACTACCCAGTTTTGAAAGCTCGAACAGCTGCAGAGTGGGGACGCAGTCTTTGCTTAGTGACATCTCTTGTTTTGACGGCTGCTTTCTGGCCACCGGAGACGCGGCTGACCAAATGTGCTAGGAAGCCCATTTCCAGTACAGTGGACAAGAGCTTTGCATGACAAACTGTAATGTCTGATTTTTGTTATACCATCTGTCCTCTAGTTTCCAGAGTCTCACATCAGAGTCTTGATGATGTATGGTTACGCATGGCACTATCATTTATCTAGTATTATGTGGTTAAACAGATGCAAGCTGAACATAACAGAAAAGGAGCCCTTCACACACAAGGCTGCACGGAAAGCAATGCTCTTGAGCTGTCTGCAGACTCCAAGATTAAGTGTAAAAGCTGACAGGGGGAATATGCATTAAAAAATGTGTGTTGACAGAATGATTTAACTAATATTTTAAAGGCAAAACATCAACTACATTTCCATATCATTTATAATCTTAGCAAACAAGGTATTACAAGGCAGGCTAGCCCCTTCTGTCATCATCTCCTTATGCTCTACTTTATTTTACCCATCTAGAATGTTTTAATGAAAGGAAGCTCTGGGACCAAATTTTCAACTGGTGTAAGAAAAGCTCCATTGCTACCAAAAGGTGCTGATGTTAGGGGAGATGTGCTGACTTTTATCTGCTGGTGTGATCATTTTTATACTTGGATAACTAAAAAAAAAAAAAGGTCTAATTAAACACACTTAATCAACATAAGCACAACCTAAAAACAAAAAACAAAAAACAAGCATACGTACAAAAAGAGTAGAAAACGTCAATATTCCCTTTATGAAAACTAAATGCTCTGGAAAGTTCCCATCCTCCCCAAGAGGATGAAAAGATCATGATGAGTTAAGATTCCTGGCTTGCCTCCCTGTTAAGAGATACACAAATAAGATGATTTGAGCTACAGTATCATCCTTGTCTGGAGAATACTTGGCTCTCGTTCCCCTTTTACACCATGGCAAACCCTACCACACCGTGTTCTCCCACAGCCAAGTCCTCAGCCTCTATAGACAGTTGATGGATCGATGTCAGTTCATACCCACTCTGCATCCGCTGCCCAAGTTTCTCAGTGAGGAAAAGTCTCTCAATGCAAACAAACTCCAAGCTAGGCAACGTAGATAAACTGGACCGGCAGCTTGATTGGTGAAGGGGTTTCATCCTCACTGGGCGCATCTACATGTGCATTAATGCACCATTGCTACTGCGCATTAAGTTAGTTCCTCTTATATGAGGTAGTACATAAATGCACAGTAGCCGGTGCTAATGCACAGTAGCAACAGCACAGTCTTTTTGTGATGCTTAATGCGCAGTAGACAAATTCTATGGCGCATCAGCACAGTTTTTGCCATGACACGCTAATGCGCCGTAGCATTAGTCTACTGCACGTTATCTCATGTAGATGCACCCACTCACTATGTACTGCAGCTACATGCCCACGGTGTCAAGATCCTAGTCCAGGGCAGTAATGCCCCGTCCTTACCTTGACCAGTTAGTGGGCTGTCACTATTCACACTTGCACAGACTTTGAAATTCACCTAGAGTTTCCAGCTGGAGCGTGAGGTCTTCCTACAGCCTGTAAGGGATGACAGCAACTACCTTCTCATGGTACCTTCTATGAGTAGATGTAAAGCGAAATAAAGTCAATGCCAAGGCAACTGGACTTTCGATTTTTCCAAAAACTCAATAAATTACTTTCCAATTTCGATACACTAACTACAGGATAAGCCAGAGCAACCTCTCCTATCTACAAGAGGGAAGCTTGACTGTTCTTCAGCTTAATGTTGAAGGCTATAATTTGCTC